AACTACTCACCCTAATCCCAAATACACATGTGGAAAGTGTACTTCATAAATTTGGGCATGGACTTTATGTACTGTAACCAAGGAATAAATAAAATAAACCTTGACACTCAAAATTGTGAATGCTATGAGAACCTTTGTCCATCCTGTCACTTAAAAATATCACACACATAACAAAAAATATTGTAATTTTTTACTAAAGTAGTAACAAAACAACAACTTCAACAATAACAAGTTTAGGTCTTCAATAATAAATCATTTAACAGTAGCTTGATCCTTACAGTACATCAAAAAGTTTCCCAAGCCCTGTTTACACTACAGTCAATTTATTGGCACGGCACAGCTAAAATGGGTACGCATAGCCAATTTTATTAGTGTCCAGGCACAGGTACCCATTTTAGCCATGCCGTGTTGATAAATTGAGTGTACTGTAAACAGGGCTCCATCTGCAATGCTATATTTAATTTCAACATTGCTGATGTTGAGGAGGTAACAAAACAACAACTTCAACAATAACAAGTTTAAGTCTTCAATAATAAATCATTCAATAGTAGCTTGATCCTTACAGTACATCAAAAAGTTTCCCATCTGCAATGCTATATTTAATTTCAACATTGCTGATGTTGAGGAGGATATCAGCCAGTTTTTCTTCATCATGGTCAAGTTTAAGATCCTTGTCTTTCTTCTCCAATAATTTGATCAATTCCTTGTTAAAAGCAGTAAGGTAGAACTTTTCTTTGGTGTCTCGATTTTGCAAAAAAAGTCGAGCATACCAATTTGTGCTTTCTTCCGACACTCTTTGCTTTAGTTTGCAGGACTCGCACTTGACTGTTTTGCCACAGCCTTCCATCTTTCGGCCACAAGCATTGCAAGTGTAGAATTTGCTGACATTCTTCACACCAATCATAGCTACAGTTGCTTGTTTTGTTGCAAGATCAGTGATGCTTGGTTGAACTTCAGGTAGAGCTTTGTCGAAGGGAGCAGAGATGCTGAGCTGAAACCCCTCTTTAGCACTGTTGACATATACCTCATTTGTGTAATGATTTTTCTTTACCCGAAAATTAGTGAACATGTACGTTGTCTCATCTTCCACACTGTTCACCCACTCCTCCCAAAAAACAGCCTCTATTGTGCCAGTTGTATCTTGAAGTGTGCAAGTACGCTTTTTGAGTGCCCCGTGATCCATTGGTTGGGTTTTGATACATGAAAGGTGTTTCACCATCGCTTTCACTGAAACAAGCTCATTAGCTGAGGTTGTTTTAATATCAGATATAGTGTACACTGATATTGTTGATTCTGCTCGGGCAAAACTTAATGGATGACCTGGCTCAGTGACAGAAGTGTTGTTTTTTATAACAATGTTCCGCAATTTTTCGTTGTATTCATACTTTGATATCTTTACAGGGCTTTGGTTTTCCCCAGGGTGCATTCCATGCACTCCATGCCGGATATATCCGGCGTGCATTTTAAAATCTTTTGGCGTATTGGCGCAGAAAATGGCAGGTTTTGTTTTGGCGTAAGATCTGGTAATTATGCTAGGCGTAGATTTCCGATTTTCGATGCACATTATTTTGGCGTATGGATTTTAATAAACTTGTTTAATCGACCCGCGCTGCGGGCTTCATCCTGTATTCGATCAGGCGTTCAAGGATATTTAAATGTTTATTTACAAATTACAAATCGCGCAGTGACATCAGCGAAGCGTGCTTGTGCAATCATGCATGAAACATGATGAATCATGAAGATATAAATTTGGAAAATAATGGTAAGTTAAATTCATACTTCTCTAAGTTCTCTTTGCCACATTAATGACATAATTGACATTATGCTATTATACAGCACCTGCGAGTATAGTTTGCCATGTATGTTTGGGCCCTGTTGGCAAGGCGCACAAATGCAAATCATGCTGTAAGTATATGCATATTTTTTGTGCCACCGTCGTCGGTGAAGAGGGTTATGGGCAACAAGCGATCTGTAAACGTTCCCAGCAACAAAAAGAAGAAAAGAGATCTGGTAAGATAAGAACTATATAAAAATCATGTATTAAAATCATTGTGGGGTCGGGATATGAGATTGATTAATTATATCACTTTAGCCGTTAAATTCACACTTGTTATTTCACAGTTTCAGGAAACAACTTAAACACGAAGGCAAAAAACCAGGGTCAAAAACGCCAAATGATGTGGGATTGGAAAAGTGGGGGCCAAAACAAGAAACGAAAAGGTAGTATGGATGAAGAGGCAAAGAAAGTATCAGAAAGGTTTTACTGTTTGGAATGCTTGGAATTAGCTTTACAGGGGAAAATGCCAGAGAGATTCTCCTGCATATGCAGGAGCGATGATTATAGTGTTAAGCGACACAAAGAAAGAAGGCATCAGAACACCAGCTGTAAAAAATCTACCATTGTTCCATCAACAGCCCCAGAAGTCTACACTTTGCGAAAGAAATTTCGTAATCAATGTCAGCTAGTTCCTAGCTCAAAAGATGAGTCTAAATCGCCAACAGTTCCGACTTCACAGCTTGTGTTATCTTCGCCACCTAAGGACATCCCTGAAGAAAAGGAGCTTGAGCAAACAATTGCGTCTCTAGACACCAGTAATAAGGATTTGATTTGTAAAGAAAACGTTTCCTCAGCAGGGCCAGTTTCTCAGTCTAGTCACGAATCTCGCAACAAAAGCGTTTCGGAATGCATTAAAAGGCAGAGCACATTGCTTTCTTTCAAACAACACGAAAAGCCAAATCATCCTAACGAAACTAGCCTCAAAGATGTAATGGATGCCATCACCAATCTGACATTGAGAGTTGACAGCATTGGCAACCAACACCACTCACTGACCTACCTAGCTTTTGAAGATGAGTTTACGCGAAACTCGGAAAATCTGTTCAGTGACATTCTCTATTGTTTGGAGAAAACTATAAATGGTAGAACAAGAACATGGCTCAGCAAACCTCTTCCATCGACGCAATTACCCCCTCACGTTTGGGCTACTGTTGACAAAGCTACGCCGTCTCGCACTACAAACCAAGCAACTCTAATTGTTGCTCGCAATGACGCCGGTATTCCATGCCCAATCCCCATTGATGCGCCAAAAGTGTACACAGATTTTGTTGCTGCGTCATATGATAATCTTGCAGAGATGATACTTAAAACGGTTGAAGAAAATCTTTCGCGTGACTTATTCTCAAGAATTTGTGGTGTTGCAGCGGACGGTCCATATCAGGCTGCTAATTTCAGAGAAAAACTTTTGGAAATGTTAGATATCGAAGACGATGATGCCCATCTTAACTGATGTTAAAGACTCTGAAGGATCAAGTGGAATTCACTTCCGAAGATTTTTTAAACGTTGCAATATTTTTAACAGCCTACTTGCTAACGGAAAGGGGTTTGCGTTCTTGCAAATGCTCGATAAGTCTGTAATGAGACCAGTGTCCTATGCAGCACAACGCTTCGCCAGCTCTTCCAATGAACAGTGGACCAAAATAAAGAAAGGTTACAAATCATTTTGGGAAGCATTTGAACTTTTGCACCCTAATCGTTCGCAAGAAGAGCAATGGCAATATATGATTGGTGGTTGCGATTTCGTTGCTGATCTCTTAGCTTTCCTGGGTGTGATGAAGCCTATTGTTGATCTCATGCTGCGTGCCCAGTCGCTCCTGTGTGCAAATTGAAGCTTTGGTGGCCAAGGTCAGGAATAAGCTATCAAAAGCTGCAAGTGGAGATCTAAATGCATATCCTCGTTGCAGAAGGTGGGTGGAGATCTAAACCCTGGTGAAGAGTTTAATGGCGTTAAACTCCTGCCAGGCTGGCTAGTTACGCATGATAGCGGCGAAATGGGAGAAAATCGATTTACCTGGAGAGCTAGGGTAAACGACGATGTTAAACGAGATTGTGAAAAATTAGCATCGGATCTGAAGAATTCCCTTGAGAATAGAGTCAACACTGTAATGGCAGATGAGGTTTACTCCATCTTAGAGGTATTTGATGCTGCCACGCTAGTTAATCCTCAATGTGGGTCAAGAGATGACGAGGGCATCCAATTTTTAATTGAAGATGGTTATTATGAAAGTTTCGGTGTGGATCAGTGTCGGCGTGTTCTAGCGATCGCCTCAAAGATGCATCACATTCAGCAATCAGGAATAAACTTCGACCCACGTCTAGCACATCGTTTTATGAATTGCATATTATAATAAGCTTATTTCAACATAAAGTTCGAAGATGGCCGAGAATATGTCGTCCGTTTGCATGAACAGAAAGTTTATCGATCTTTTTATGCCGACACAGAGATATATTCAATTGCCAAACCACCTGCTTGCGCGTTACTTGATATTATATTGGCAAAGGGGGGCCCCGAAGCTATTGTGGAAAGCTTTTATGCTACGATGAGATCGCAACAACAAGCTGGAGGTCAATTGAATGAAATGTTAACAAGACGAACGAAACTCGTGTGGTGTTTGCCATCATTACGATTTTGTGATGAAATTATTCGCGAAAGTGTTAAGTTGTATATCGAGGGAGATGATGTCGTTGGGAGGCACCGAAGTAACATTTTCACTTCCGCTTGTGCAAAAGAGTACAACGTTTCCAAAGTGGTGGATCGTGTAGATTCGTTTGTCGGTCACTGTCCTTTTTTGGCCGATAATTCAAAGAAATGATTGTAATTCAATTGAATATTTCAATATTAAGCGAACTGCAGACTGTAGTAGAAAATAGAGTAGATACGAAATACATTTGGTTTAAATTTTGTTAAAATGTTCACTGTTAAAGGCACAGTGGAGGTACTAATAGTTACTTTTGTCAGTACACTATTTAAAATTTTGTTAGAATGATTTAGGAAAAAACAATTTATATTGGAAGGATATAATGATCATAATTATAGTCATAGATTCTTTGATTTTCAACAATCTGAAAAGTTGGTTTTATTTAAATATCATAGCTTGAAATCGGCTGAATCGCTCAAGTCAAATGCAGAAATGGCGATGTTTTCAATTAAAAAATAGTTACAATGGCGACTAATCGAGTGTTAAGTCTCTTCGTGTTTCTCTTTATTTTCGGCTTGGAGGTAAGCACCTTGGCCTGGTGTTATTGCCAGGCGATCCAAGAAGTAAACAGAAATAACTTTGGCGAACTTGAAAGAAGAGTGAACTTGCCGTTGTATGTGCAAAATGACTATATCGCTGATAGAACTGTGATCAGCGAAGCAAATTATTACTGTTCTTTGCAAAAAGTGTTTGCTTGGTGCTATGTTTGGCCGCTTGGGGAAGTTGATACTAGGTATACCAGAAATTATAGATTTGGTTTTGCTCTCTCTTATGCTATACAGTCAACTAAAGAAAAGTATTTGGATCGACTTCGTGGTTTTGGTTCAACGGCATTTAAAAAGTTTTATCCTTCAGGGATATGCGATATCTGCATTGCAAATTATCTTGAGCTACCTAAGCAAATCTACAATTACTATTATCGACAAAACATCCCTATAATGGTGGGAGTTCGTAGCAACAGAAAATGGTCTCATTCGAGAGTTACCTATTATAATAATTCGATAGCTACTTTCCATCTATTATTAAGAAGCGGTGATGTAGAGGAGAATCCTGGCCCTCAAAGCAACACTAAACAAAAGGCTCCCCGCTGCGTCGAGTGTGAGAAACCAGTTGCCAAGAACCATAAGCGAACTCTCTGTGCTGAATGTTTTGATATAAGACATGCAAAATGCACAAGATTCTTAGATCCAAAAGCAGTCTCTTCTATAGCACCTGTTGATTGGACTTGCCTCAAGTGTACATTTAATGCATTACCTTTTTCCTCATATGATCTGAACGATACAGAAACTGAAGCTGGTGAACAATATTCCTCTACTACCCTCAACACTTCTGATATCTGTTCTATTTTAAATCGACATCCTAAACACTTGAAAATTATGCACTTAAACACTCAGAGTATGGTATCAACTTTTAATGAATTTTTACTTGCAGTATCTCAGTATTCATTTGATGTATTTACTTTAAGTGAAACCTGGTTGAAAAACAATCCCTACCTATTGGAATATGTTTCAATACCCGGTTACTCGGCTGTTTTTCGAAATCGTGATGCTATAAAGGGTGGCGGTGTAGGGGCCTACATTCGTGAGTCACTACATTTTAAGCGTAGAGAGGACATTGAAAAGTTGCAACCTGATTTTGAACATCTTTGGCTTGAGTTTCCAGGAAGAAACAGACACAGCAAAACTCTTGTTGGTATTTTTTACCGTTCAACTCGTATGCTTAATACCCGAGAATGGCTCGACCGCATGGAAACTCTGCTTGGTTACATAAATACAACTTGGAATGGCCTATTATTAATTACCGGAGATATGAACATAGACATGCTAACTCCAACTAATGCTGTTACGAAAGAATATCAATCACTCCTCGACATGTTTGATCTTCACCAGATGATTAAAGAACCAACCAGAACTACCCGTATGTCACAAACAATTATTGACCATATTGTCGTAAACTCACCATCAAGTGTTACGGCATCTGGTGTAATCCCTTGTTCTATTGTTAGTGACCATGATGGGGTCTATGCCTGTATTAATACTAGAGTTCCACAATTTAAACCAAGATATAAATACATCAGGAACACAAGATCCTTTGACAGATCTGCTTTCATTAATGACTTTCACACCATCCCTTTTTCCGTGGCTGAATCTTTTGATAATCCTGATGATCAGCTACAAACTATCAATAAATTGTTAAATGAATGCCTAGAACGGCATAGTCCTCTTATTAGAACTCGCATTACTCGCCCTCCTGCTCCTTGGATGAGAACGCCCAATATTGAAAATTTAAAACTACAGAGGGATAAACTACGAGAGGAAGCACACTCGACAAAATCGGAAGAGTCGTGGCGTTCGTATAGATCCGTAAGGAACGCATTAAAAGTTGAAATACGTTCAGCACGCAAATCTTTTATGGAAAATGCATTATCATCTCGTAATTCACGAGACGTTTGGAAAATTATACATCGTATCTTGAAACCAAATCCAAAGCCTTTGCGTGTTGACCTTGATGACCTCAATCAACATTTTGTAACGACAGCACACCGTACTACTGGTTGCCAACCCGTGGAAGAACATGAGCTTCTTGAAATGATTGACAATTTACCTGATGATATGAATGATTTTTTTAAACTTAGTCAAGTCTCGATAAATGAAGTAACGAATATTATCAAAACACTTCGATCTGATTCATCGACTGGACCTGACTGCATACCTATTAATTATGTTAAGATGGTTAGTGAAGATATTGCTGTACCCATCACGAATCTTATTAACAAATGTATTAGGGACTCTTGTTTTCCCAAAGCTTGGAAAATTGCAAGGGTATCTCCCATTCCAAAGGTGAATAATCCAGTGGTGAATGACCAGCTACGACCGATATCGATTTTACCAGCGCTCTCTAAGGTCTTCGAGAAAGCCGTTGCCCTCCAGATAATTGATTATGTTGAAAAGTATACTGTATTAAACGAAAAAGTTACTGGTTTTCGTAAAGGTCATTCTACCATCACGACCTTAATTGGTATTAAGGACGACATAATCCGTGCTATGAGAAAACGTGAAATTACCTTGATGGTATTAGCGGACTATTCAAAGGCCTTTGACACTGTTAGCTTCAAATCGATGATTACCAAAATGCGTAAATTGAATTTCTCTAAGTCCTTCCTTGTGTGGATACTCAACTATATGTCAAATTGTGAACAGTTTGTTTAGGTCGATGATAGCACTTCAAACAAGATGACTACAGAATTTGGAATACCCCAAGGCTCCATCCTCGGTCCGATGCTTTTTAACTTATATGTAACAGACCTTCAGGAGAATATTGATCAGCAGGTATCCTGCTTTCAATACGCAGATGATTCAACACTTTATAAACACTGCAAATACACAGACTTATTGCAATGTGAAGTAGAGATGAACACTACTCTCACGCAACTATCAGATTGGTCTTATGACTCTAATTTAGCCCTCAATGCGGAAAAAACCAAATGCATGGTTTTTTCAACTCAGCAGATGGCAAGTACTCATTCACTACATTTGCACGAAACAAGTCTCGAGATTGATGGTAAATTATTAGAACGTCTTCATGCCACAAAACTGCTTGGTTTGCAGATTACCGAAAATCTTACTTGGAATGATCACATTAAACAATTGTCCTCGACCTGCTACAGCACCTTGGCCATTCTTAGAAAAATAAAAAACTTTACCCCATTTTATTTACGAAAGCAGTTGGCCGAACAGCTCATTTTGTCCAAAATGGACTACGGCGATCTCGTTTTCAACCCTCTCCCTGACTACCTCTTAAGTAGGCTGCAAAAGATCCAATTTTCAGCAGCCAGCTTTGTCATTGGTAAATATGTGAACTCTGAGGAAACTTTATTAAAGCTTAACTGGCTGCCGATGCGCGAACGTAGAAATTTCAACCTGCTTAAAGCTACTCATAAAGCAATTTACTCACAGAACTGGCCAAAGTATGCTGCTGTTGAATTATATAAACCAGCTCGTAGTCTGCGCTCGAGTACACGTTTGAGTTTGGTTAGGCCAATGGAAAAGGGTACTTTCCAAGACATTACATCCGAACTATTTAATAGCCTACCATCTGACATTAGATCGATATCTGATTACAGTCAATTTTGTACGAAAGTTAGGGCTGTACTAAAGTCACGTACAATGTAAATATACAATGTTAGAAACTTTTCCTAAATTATCTTATAAATTAACTTTCTCTTTATATATTCACTTTTAGTCAAAATTACAAAAATCTTTGTATGTACCGTAGTTTTCAATAGGGGAAGAGCCACCTCGTGGATCTTATTGAATAAATCATTATTATTATTATTATTATTATTAAACTGTTTCTTGTGTTACTCTTATTCTAATTTCTAAAGATTTCCACCCTACCACATTCCACTTTTTCACTGTAGCACACCAAATCAGTCAGTCGGAGAGGCTGTTAACTAGCGAGTAGCTATCTGGCGTAGTAATGTGGCAATCGTTAACAATTTGTAGTAATATTGACGCATTGGCGTGACAGTCCAAACAGCTTTGTAAATATCTGGCGTAGAGTTTACATGGAATGCACCCTGGGGTTTTCCATGGCTTTTTTTAATGGTTTGGATTTTTCTGGTGAGAAGCAGATAGCCTTTGTTGTTGAATTCTCTCCTGTCTGAAGTTCACATGTAGTGTAATTCATTTTCCTAGCTTTTTGCACTGCTGTTACATTGTGAACATAGCACATGAAATCTCCATCTAAATTAAATTGAAATGACAGGTTGTAATAAGAGATTAACTATCTCAGCTGCATTATAGCCATAGACTTTAAGATCTTACTACATTCTCTAACAAATGAATGGTACTCTGAAATTAACCTAATGTTTGCTGGAAGGTCATTGAATAAATTAACTACAGAGTCCTGGAATGTTCTCTTTAAAGGTCTGTTCACACAATCCAGTTTTGTTGGATCAATTAACTTCTGATGGATGTTTTATAGTCTGTTGTCTTGTAATGTATATAAGCAGCAATCCACTGAAGGCAATGCACTGCTGCTTGATCAATCACTGACTTTATTTCATGCTTCAGAAGTGAATTGCATCCAACTAAATTGGATCGTGTGAATAGACCTTGACCAGGAAATCTGCAGAAGTGGAGCACTACTTTAATGTAACGTGCGACTGGGATTGTGTCTAGATAACATGAAATAGTCAGGCTAGATTGAGATTGCATAAAAAAATCCTCTTACAGTAATACTTAGTTAAAATTAATTTCACTATATAAGTAATATAACCTACAATATAGTCAATGTATAAGCCTCCCCCCCCTATATATAAAACCATACAAACTCATACAGGCTCAGGAATAATCACAAGGCTTCAGTAGCGTAGCCAGCCTGACGACTTTAAATACGGTGATACAGAAAGTCAAAGTGATATTAAAAGGTCTTAGTATCAGGGGATTCGGCAAAAATTGAGCTTGTTTTCGTTTTATACTTCTACTCTTTTTCAACGTTGCCTCTTTTGTAAATTTAATATGATTTCAAATCTATCGAATACTATACTAGCAGAAAAATGACAACCACCCTTCACAAAACTTACTTTACTTTTTTTAATGTCGGTATTTTCCATTCTCGTCTGTATATACTCAATCTAGAATTAACAAAAATAATTTCGTCTCAATGATGAAACATTACCTGTAGTCACTGTAGTGTGATTAAGCCACATTTTTGAAAAAAATACATACTTTTTTATTTTTTATTGCTCACCAAATGAGAACGTCAGTACAACGCGTGTTAAGCTCCTGTTCACTTGTTTGCTCCACTCCCAATCCCGAGTGTTCCGCGTAAAGACGAGACTGGAAACCAATCGTACTTTATCGTACCTAATGGTACTTATGGTACTTCCACTTCCCCTGTCATCAAAATGTATTTCTTCAAAAATTGTTCGTCTCTATTCCCTCTTAAGTCTTAAGGGTACACAAATAAATTGTCCAAGCCCATTACACTTCCCGTATAACAAATGTATGTTATTAGAGACTAGCACAGGGGACAAGGATGAGTGAATGGTGAAAATCAAATTAATTAACCACTGTAACTTATTGAACCAAAGCAGCACTTCACTTGTGATAGTAACCCTTAGTATAATTCTATAAATTAATGCACATTTTCATTTATATATAGTAAACACTGGTTTCTTATAGGAAATAATTTATAGGAAATGGATTTGTATGAAAATGACCCATCTTTTTACATACAAAAGGAACATCCTTGGTTTACCAGAGAGGAAGCCAATAAAAAAAGGGTGATGTTGAGAAATATTGGCGAACATTGCATGCTCTTCATGTTGCACGATATAAGCATTTGTGATAGGTAAGAGTGTCTGTCACTAATACTCAGTTATAGCTGTTTATTATTCCATTTGTATAAGGTTTATGAAAAATTATGGTGTGCATACTACATATGTGTGATATGCATTTGCACATTTTACAATGTTATATTGTAACATACCACTGCAATGTACTATCCCATTCTTATTAGACTTGGTTGCAGATTTACAATTGCTGCACAAACTCTAGCAATTGATGTAATATAGGCTTTAAATGTCAGTGGAATAACACCACGCAAAATAGTAAAACATTTAAGTTTCCTTATCATTCGTTCCACATGAACTCTTGTAGTTGCTACTCGTCTTGTTGCTGTGGATGCTCGGGAGGAAACCTTGTTCTTTAACATAATGGGTGGAGCTATCAAACGAGCACCATGAAGAGCTAATAAGTCTTGGACATTAAACCCTTTGTCTGCCATTATACAATCATCTTGTTCTAAATGATTCAGAAATCCACTCTTTTGTACAATTTCTTTATCACTTATGGAACCACTGAACAGTTTGGACACAAAATTTAAATGGCAAATTGGAGACAAGGAGACCAATAATTTGACTGTATTATGTGATTTATATTGACTGTAAGTCCGTCTTTGGCTAGATGGCGAAGAGGGTTTTTCAAGATAAAATTCAGTGCAATCAATAATTCCTCGTAGACTCTGATACTTTACATCTTTGTACACTTTGGGGCGTGGTAGTCTTTTCACATCAGACAAGGTCGAAAACTTCAGTAGAAATTCCATCTCCCTCTCTAAGAACAGCACCCAAGTTATAAAAATTTTGCTACCATTCCCAACAGATGTACCAAAAATATCACAGTGTTGTCAATGTTGGTCGTCTCCTTAGTCGTACAAGAGTAAAAACAAGTCCAACATTCCTTTTGCTATATAACAAAGTTGAATTTTTTAATTATTGTTTGTCATGCATAAATGACACACTTGTTTCAGTTTCTTGGTATACAAAAAAAGATCATTATATTACCTGGCAATGTTTTGTTTTCATAACAGTATTCCTGTTGCTTGTTGTGGTTGAACCACTCCACATTCTCATTCTGCTTGCCTTCCTGTTAACTAAGATGTAGAGTGCTTCTAGACATTCCTTTGTTAAACCTTAAAAAAGAAATCAGATTTAAGTTGCTTGGTATGTGGTTGTTTTTTTAAGGCAATTTTAGACATTATACTAGACCTACATTTCACTGTTAGAAAAGTGTGATACAGTACCCAATATAAAATAGGATACAGTGATTTAATTGTAGCCTACAAACCTGTGTAATAATAGGTTAGTTTAGGGTTGTCAACTGCTGCCATGAACAAGAATCTTCTAAGACACTTGCTGTCTTTCAGAATATTGTCAGAGTACATTTGGATGTCTTTGCCTTTTAAGTTCGTCTAGTAAATGCAATTTTTAATAATTTACATATCAGAAATATTTTTCAGAATGTATTTTTATAAAGCAACTGTAATTTATACCTGCACACTAACATCTTGTTCCTTATGATGGCCTTTGTCAGCAGATGGAAAATGAACATGGCTATCTTCTGAGTACCTAGTCTCACACTTTGATGGAATACTAGCAGATTTTTTTGGTGTTGATATGCTCGAGTTTGTCTTGGGTACTTGAGACTCACTGGTCATTCTAATACTAATGAGTCCTTCGATTGCCATCTTTTCCTTATCTATCAATGATTTTGATATTTTCGACGAGTTATAAAGATCTAACAACGCTTGGACAGCATCTTTCTCACGCCTTGCGCTTTTACTTATGTTGTCGTTGACAAGACGTTCTGCTGGAGCTTTACGTTTACAATTTAGTCGCTTGACCTAATTTTAAACAAATAGAACAATGTCAATGAATAATCATGTTTGACTATTAAAAAGAGATTTCAGTCATTACCCACCTTTTCTTTACTAGCTGTAGCTGATATAGGATCTGGATTGTCTGGTGTAGGCCCATTCTGACCTACGAAATGGAGACTGCAAATGTAGCTGTCTTTTCCACATACAAAGGAATCGCCACAATGACATGCTGTAATCCAGCGTTTCCTTTTTTCTGCTGATGCTTTCCACCTTTTAGGAGCAGGAAAAACGATAAAAGCGGACTTCATCTCCTTTTTCATTCTTCGTTATTCGATGTGGGTATCTAGAATCATTTCTACAAGTGCCCCAAGCACAACGTTTTGTGGCAACCATGTTGATTGCTCATTGTCCGCATTTCGCGCTTTGTTTACAAATTTAGTCACGTGATAGCTACACGTGTTTCCGAGGGCTGAAGTCGCGAATTGAATGTGGCAAAGTGTTGGATTTTGGAAAACGTAGGGGAATCCTTGCTGAAAAGAAATTGTATTTTAAATGCGCCACTGGCAATCATCCAACAACATTCTTAGTTAAAGAAGCTTTACCTTAAGGCCGGCGCACACTAGAGCTATGTGCTTAGCAAAAAAGTCATTCGTGGCCATTGGCGTAAGCCAGTTGCTCTCGTGTGCAGGCGACGTTTCAGGCGCCTTTGGTCATTCCTGCCACTTACGTAAATTCTCTAGCATGTTTGATAATTTCTGACTTGTGTGCCAAAATCCTTTCATGTGCGGCAAACTGAAAGCTATCTGCTTATGGATTGTCTTAACAGCGCATGCGTAATATACGAAAGTAAACATACAAGATGGCGATGCAAACAAAACAAAATGAAATGGTGACTGAGGCCATATTAGAAGACAAGCTTGTTGATCTTTGGTCTGAATACAGTTGTTTGTATGATGTTAGCTCTGCAGATTTCAGAAACAGAGAAAAACGGGAATGCGCTATTTCAGAAATAGCTAGTAAGCTTTCCCAAACAGGTAATATAATTAATAGCACTTGGATAACGGTGTTTAAAGTGGAAGTCTAGTCTGTGTAAACAAACAGTTTGTTTACATTTTGAACTATTTTCTAAAATACGACATCCTGTCTGAATATTTAATGCCACCAATGCGCAGAAGTCAGAACGGACTTCACTTCCACTTTAATTTTGTTTTTATATCATGTTTTTGCTCTACTATGAATTGTGTTGTATTTTATGGAATTTTTTTGCAGGGAAGGAATTTGAGTTCTATTATTTACAGTGAAGTCCGTTTTATTTGTAGTTGACTATGTGAAAACAAAGTTGAAATCATTAAGAAACAGTTACACAAAAGCAAAAAAAACTCAAAGCAGTGGCAGTGTGAGAAAATCTTTAAGCAGGCATGCTTCTTGGATACAGGATTAGCTGCAATTTCTTTGAACCATATATTGCCACTCGAATGTCAACTTCAAGTCTAGATGTACTAAGTATTTTAATTGAAGCTGTAAAGATATGCTCATGGCAGGAGGTGCTGCCCCCATAAATTCATCACTCAATCCCTAAACCATAAATAAGGAGGAATCCTTTAATTTAGATACAATGTTAAATTTAATACATTTTATATCATATTGTCCTGCCATGTGACAGCCCCAGCACCTGAGAAATAGTTAGTGAGAAGCTGGCGTTGTTGCTTTGCACTTCTTGTGGGGTTGCGGTTGGTGGTACAGGACTGCAAACTGTTGAGTGGAGGGTCAGCTCTCCATGCTCCAGATAAGAATGCATGATCCTCACTTTCAACATCACCAGTACTGGTGTATGCATGCTTGTTGTTGTTGACCATGAAGTTGTGAAGGCAACATGATGCAAGGATCAAGTATGTCACTCTTTCGGGACTTAACTTTATTGTTGTAAGAAATACGCAAAATCGGCTGGCGAGTATTCCAAATGCATTTTCAACAACCCGCCTGGCACGAGATAACCGGTAGTTGAAAATGCGTTTGGTTTTATCGATATGTCGGTGTGGATATGGTTTCATCATAGTGCTGGTAAGTGCAAATGCATCATTTCCAACCATATGATAACTGATTAACGGTTCTGGTATTCCTTCAACACATGTTGGTGGTGGTAAGTTGAGGGACCCGTTGTCCAAGGTCCTCTTTAAAACTGAAGCATTAAAGAGCCCAGCATCTCCAGCAGGCCCAGCAGCTCCAGCTTCTACATAAATAAATCTGTATTTGGCATCCACTACGGCCAAAAGTAATACACTATAGAAATGCTTATAGTTGTAAAACTCAGAGCCACTGTCATTAGGATTCTGTATGGCAATGTGTTTTCCATCTATTGCCCCTATGCATGATGGGTAATTCCATTTTTCTTCAAAATCTTTTGAGATCACCAGCCAATCTGCCACAGATGATGGAGTCTGAAAAAAGAACATGTAAATAAAACTTAATACATTTCTTTACTCTTTGATTAGACAGTGGAACAAGCTGCCACTACAGATAGTGCCAAGTCAACAGAGCAGCTAAGTAGCCTGAATGAGAGCATTGATGATGCAGACCTTATTTCTGAGAATTTGTTGGTAAATGATGATAATCCTGAGAGTGAAACATCTCCTGCAGTGCCAACCAAACAGCCATTAACGGCTAAGTTATCCCGAAAAAAAACAGGCAGAGCGGGAATTTGAGCTAATCAAAGGCCTTGCTGCCTCATTGGCTGAAAGACAAAACAAACGGCAAAAAATAGCTGATACCTATGATGAATCAATCAGTTCATTTGCTCGATATGTGACTGAATCATTAGCAGAACTTCCCCCAAGAATGAAAAATTTGTAAACAATGTATTGTTCCAAGCCCAAATGGGAACACTGTCATACCAAGAGGGAAACACAGCATTTTCATCAGCCTCTGGTCCACAACACAACTGCTGTTCAACCAATCCACAAAAGATGAATTTCCCCCCTTACCCAAGGGTGCAGCAGAGTTTACCAAGTACAGCTAGTACGTTAAATGTACGTTAAATAATGATTTATCAATTATTAATAATTCTGTACATATGTTATATAATGAATTATTGTTGAATGAAATATTGAATATTTATTTATTTATTATTAAATGTACATTGAATAATGATTTATCAATTAATAATAATTCTGTACATATGTTATATAATGAATTATTGTTGAATGAAATATTGAATAATTATTTATTTATTATTAAATGTTGAATAATGATTTATCAATGATTAATTTGTGTAATTAAATGGCTTTGAAATTTTAACGAGATGTGAAATCATCCTGAATGAGAGCATTGATGATGCAGACCTTATTTGTGAGAATTTGTTGGTAAATGATGATAATCCTGAGAGTGAAACATCTCCTGCAGTGCCAACCAAACAGCCATTAACGGCTAAGTTATCCCGAAAAAAAACAGGCAGAGCGGGAATTTGAGCTAATCAAAGGCCTTGCTGCCTCATTGGCTGAAAGACAAAACAAACGGCAAAAAATAGCTGATACCTATGATGAATCAATCAGTTCATTTGCTCGATATGTGACTGAATCATTAGCAGAACTTCCCCCAAGAATGAAAAATTTGTAAACAATGTATTGTTCCAAGCCCAAATGGGAACACTGTCATACCAAGAGGGAAACACAGCATTTTCATCAGCCTCTGGTCCACAACACAACTGCTGTTCAACCAATCCACAAAAGATGAATTTCCCCCCTTACCCAAGGGTGCAGCAGAGTTTACCAAGTACAGCTAGTACGTTAAATGTACGTTAAATAATGATTTATCAATTATTAATAACTCTGTACATATGTTATATAATGAATTATTGTTGAATGAAATATTGAATATTTATTTATTTATTATTAAATGTACATTGAATAATGATTTATCAATTAATAATAATTCTGTACATATGTTATATAATGAATTATTGTTGAATGAAATATTGAATAATTATTTATTTATTATTAAATGTTGAATAATGATTTATCAATGATTAATTTGTGTAATTAAATGGCTTTGAAATTTTAACGAGATGTGAAATCATCCAACTAAATATGAAATAATTCGATCTATTTTGAAATGATGTAATTTGTGCGGACCGGCGAATGTTGTAGTGAAATCGTTCAACAAGATGTGAAATCATTCAACAAGATTTGAAATCATTCAACAAGATGTGGTATGATTGTATGCGATGACAAATCATTTAACAAAATGTGATACGATTGGATGCGATGTGAAGTGAAGTATATTACTTCCACTTGGTAAAAAATTTTCTTCCAAATTTCTCGATTTCGTCTCAAGTGGAAAACCTATTTCTTAAATTAGTTTTTTTTTGGCCGACATCGCGTTTTTTTTTGAAGATTTCTTTGAAGTTTTTTTGCCAAGAAATTGATTTATATGCTAAAAAAATTATTGCAAGGTAAGTTTGGTATATAAAAATACTGAATTCGAAATTGGTTATCAAGTCAAATATTTAAATCAAATTGAACTGCTTATCCACCTTGAATACTCCATAATATTGTCGGGATTACTTTCAGGCCTTAAACTAGACATTATTGCAACAATATTTCTATTTTAAACGTGTTTTATTTAATTTTTAAAGCCTTTTGTCTCGTTTTATATTACATATATATCATGTGTACTCTGGGGGGGTGTAGTGAGGAGGGGGGAGGGTGAGGGAGGAGTGAAAATATAAAAAAGTTGGCAATTATCAATCATTATAAATTACGGTTTATATTCAGGAGCAAAGGAAATGTATGAGGTCTTCACAATTTTTTCAAACGGTAATGATTAAGGTCATGAAGACTGCAAAACAAAAGCGGTGATTAGTGATAAACCTCAAATTTACTTCTTGTTGACGTCCGCGTTGCAAAAAACGTCTCTCGCTTAAGCCCCCTACTGACAAATGCACACTGACAATAACAATGCTTGCTTGTCTCTCTTGGAGTAGTGTGCAGGTGAACGTTAAGGCGGTTTCCACTAGGCGGAATTTTTCGATTGAATGAAATTTTTTGCTCAATTTTCTTTTCAATTGTGGTCGGTCAAGCGAATCCGCTTCGGTCGACTTCTCACAATTGAAAAGAAAATTGAGCGAAAATTTTCGTTCCATCGAAAAATTCCGCCTAGTGGAAAACCGCCTTTAGTAAATGTGATGGGTTTACATATGGGGATTATACTCGGGAGGGGGGGGGGGCGCTTATAGTCGGTCAAACACTTTTCAGAGTTGTGTTTCTCAACTGCCTAAAATAGACAAAAAAGCTTCTCGACGTTTCGATCTAGGGGCCTTCGCCAGGAGAATTAGTTTAAAAAAATACACTTTTCTAGAGTGTCAAGTTATTAATATCCTTTCGTTTACCCAAAGATATGAAAACATTTAATTTGGCACTCTTAGTCAAAACTATTGTTTTTCTGTAAACTTACATTTGAACTGTTTAAAGAAAAAAATAAAGTTGACATTGCAAATGTAGTAAAGGTGAAATTGAGACGTCACTTTCACAAATTTTATTTACTGTAGTAGCATGCTATACTTAGCTGCAGCTAAAAATTAATATATTTCGTAGTAACGCCATCAGATGGAGCAAGTCAAGACTGCGATGATAAATGAAATTGAGGAGATTATTCGTTTGCTACTTCTATCAGCAGACCATCAAGATCTTGAGTTGTGCGTAACAAGACTGGAAGTTATTGCCGAAAATGCGTTAGGTTATGAGGGAATACCACTGGAGATCGTTAATTTACTCAGCCAAGCGTTAGGTAGTTTAAGGAAAAGCACTCGGACGGAAAGAAGTTATGAACCATATGCAGCTTCGTTAGTTCACAATGAGGGAAGACCAGAAAGACCAAAATTTGAAATTACCGAAGATCAACTAATGTTTTTTAAAGGTATTAAAACCATGCTGTTGGTTAATTATTTATGATTCAATATTGTAAGGCCTGATCTGGGACTGGGATCTTAAATGCAATCAAAATAGGTAAACTGTCTCCTTAAAGGTGACATATAGTTATTCTTAAATGGTTATATAAAAATGCCAATCGTTAATTTTATTCATGGTGTTGTGATCATACAGTACCTTTCCGTATACGAAATCAAGTCGTACATTTATCACCTTTTGTTTTTTTTTTAGAAAACGGGTTTATGCAGCAAGACATGTCCATCATGCTTGGTGTTAGCAAACGAACTGTAGAGAACCGTATGGTCGAATTAAATCTTACTGTTCAAAATAGATTTAGTGATATTGATGACGGTTCTCTTGATGCTTACACGGAATGGATAGTTGGGCTTTTTCCAAGATCAGGTATTTATCACTGTAAAAAGTGCTGGTTAAACCATAGTTGGGAGACAAAACTAAAAAAAATGATAAAAATTTAATATCATAAATGTCACAAGATCAACTGAAAATTGGCAAGAGCTACATTTAAACTTATCTTATTGCTCAGGTTTAAAAACGATTGAAGGGCAATTAATTTCAGAAGAAATCCGGGTTCAGAGAAGAAGATTGAGAGAATCTGTTAAGCGGGTAGATCCAGTAGGAAGAAGGCTAAGAAGAATAAATGCCATTAAAAGACGTGTTTATTCAGTTCGTTTACCGTTATCATTATGGCATATGGACGGAAATCATAAGCTCATAAGGTGAAATTATTGTAAAACTATTTATTCCAACCGCATTAAAATATCTTTGTTAAGGCCTTATGGGCAGGCGGATTTCGAACCAACCTCGTACCCAGGCTCTTTCCCTTTTTCCCCTTCCTAGACCTCAATGGGGGAAAAGGTGAAAGAGCCTGGGTACGTGGTTGATTTCAAACAGCCAGTGTTTTTGGGGACACAGCTTCCATAAAATGGCATAACTATATCTTTATTGACAATTGAATAAGAATTTGGCGAAAAGTGCTCCGCTTAATGTAAAAAGGATTCGAAATTCATTTTTATATCATATTTGGTTCAAATTGTAAAAAATATAGTAATTTATATAATGATTTTTATATTTGGACAGTGAATCAAAACATACCAATGGCACGAGTGCAAATGAAACTTGAAGTCCCACTCTACTTTCTTTACAAATTAGTTAAATACAAGATTACTGTTACCATACAGCAACCAAAATAGACATGCCAATCAGACCTATTTACGTGTTTGTTTTTTATAAAGTGTGTACTATATCAATAAATAGTCAATAGCTACTACATTCTACCTAGAATATCGGAATGCAACAACGGGAATCTCGTGTCTCAAGCAACAAGCATATCTTTACTTCAGAAACCGTTAATTAAGACCTTACTGTAAAGACCAAGTATACAGTATATTTTCTTGTTTATGACTTAGGTGGCGTTTTGTTGTTCATGGATGTATTGATGGTTACAGCCACGTAATTGTCTACCTAGCTTGTAGTACGGACAACACATCTGCCACAGTATTGGATCTTTTTAA